GTAGTTTCACAGAGTCAAATCACTCCTCTTGTTCAAAAATAAAGATACTTCTAATTGTCACTGATGATTTACAACTCCAAGCTTAAGTTAAAAATCTTTATCTGAAAGGCTCTAGAATTATAGAATTTTCATAACTTCAGCCCAACTTAAAGGCCTCTATTCCTACTGTTCTTAATCTGGGACCCCTATGATATACTCAGGGGTTATTCTTGGGCTTATTTGGTTCTTTCTTTGGTGATGTTTTGAACTTAGAAATTGATGATGACATGTTGTAAGGGGCAGGACAGGGCACAAGGCAGGTTTTCTGATCCCATGCAGATCGGGTAAAGGAGGAGTCAGAGTCCTCAGTAGTTTTGCAGGTTTTTTATTTGGGGTTCACCAGGCATATGGCAGGCAGGGGTGCTGGCTGGGGGGCTGGGAGGCTGGCAGGCCTCCCAGCCCCCAGCAAGTCTTCACTCTATCTGGGCTCTCTGGCGTTCTCTGCTTCTGCTTCGGCTTCTCCTTCAGGTTCTGCTGCTGCTGGCTGGGGCTGCTGGCGTCCCCCCCGTGACGCCGCCCTTAAAAGCACAGTCTTAGCTCAGCTGAATCCCATCTACCTATGCCCACACCCTACTCCAGGTGCCCGCCATCAGGCATGCATTCAGGACAAGGATCCATCATCTATCCTGATGGCGGAAGGGCAGAAAAGCCTGATATTTTCTTTACCCTACAGTCCACCCCCTCAGGGTTTTCTGCCATACAGTCTATACATACATATACAATTTTCTAAGCAAACAAACAATGCAGCCATGGCCCACAAAAGCAAATACATCAAATATAACAAAATACAATATAACAAAATACAACAGAACACAAATAAGTCCAGGCAGGGCACCAACCAAGTGCAAAAGACAATTATTGGTACCAGCAGATGAGCCACCAAATCTGCTGCCGAAGGCACTGCTCATACGAGGGAGGGGAATCACTCACGGCATCTACTATAACATACCAGGAGCCGTCAGGCTTCCTGGCCTTCTCTGGCTGTAGTCTCGGCTACAAGGCGCACACAGCATCCACCCCCAGGATGCACTAGCTCTGGGATTGGCAATTTTATTCTGTTGGGGGTAATCGCCAACCCTCAGGGTTTCTGTCTGCAGTCGCTCCAACACTCGGCCTTCATGGCCACCCATGCGACTCACAGACCCCTGCTCTCAAGCCAACCCACTGCACCAGCACATGGGTTGGGGATCCAAACTTTGCATTTGGCTTGGGCTCCACCCCAAGCCACATTCCCCACCCGTCCCCCAAGGACGGGCTCCTCAGCTCCTCACCCTCACTCAAGAATGAGCAGGGCATCACCCATAGGTGATTTTACGAGACTCACAGGGCTTCAGCATACCCAGGCTGCTTAACAGCCGCTTTAGGGCTTCTCAACTTAGCATCAGTACCAGCTTTTGCCACCTTAGTTGGCTTTTCTCCTCCACCTGGCCACTGGGCATACACAGGCTGCTTTTGGCCATCTAGGCCCACTGGCCACCCCCAGATTCTCAAAAAATAAACATAACCTGCTAAGGTCCTCCGCCTTCTGGCGGGATTGTCAGTCCAAAATCATCAGTTCATCAGTCTATCAGTCCATTGGCCTCTCCCTGCTTCAGCAATGGCCTGCTGCCTCAGGGGTCATTGGCTGGTCCTTTCCGGTGTCGTTGGCTGGTCCTATCCGGTGTCGTTGGCTGGTCCTTTCCGGTGTCGTTGGCTGGTCCTTTCGGGCGTCTCCTTCACGCCAGGTCTCATCCTGTAGCTCGTGGACGTATCCATCTTCTATACCGCCATGGTGCCTCCAGCGTCGTCACAGGCAAAGTCTGTTCTCCTTAGTCCCTCCAGGTCTTCGGAGGGCTCCAATACCCGTCTGCATGGATCCTGCCGACTACGCCAATTGTAAGGGGCAGGACAGGGCACAAGGCAGGTTTTCTGATCCCATGCAGATCGGGTAAAGGAGGAGTCAGAGTCCTCAGTAGTTTTGCAGGTTTTTTATTTGGGGTTCACCAGGCATATGGCAGGCAGGGGTGCTGGCTGGGGGCTGGGAGGCTGGCAGGCCTCCCAGCCCCCAGCAAGTCTTCACTCTATCTGGGCTCTCTGGCGTTCTCTGCTTCTGCTTCGGCTTCTCCTTCAGGTTCTGCTGCTGCTGGCTGGGGCTGCTGGCGTCCCCCCCGTGACGCCGCCCTTAAAAGCACAGTCTTAGCTCAGCTGAATCCCATCTACCTATGCCCACACCCTACTCCAGGTGCCCGCCATCAGGCATGCATTCAGGACAAGGATCCATCATCTATCCTGATGGCGGAAGGGCAGAAAAGCCTGATATTTTCTTTACCCTACACATGTGCTTTAAAAAGTCCCATATTGTTTATGTCTGAATCAGTAGTAGATACACATTCCTCATTTAGTCCACAGATTTGCTTGCTCATTCTACAGGTTTTCACATTTCCCCATGATTCGGTAGGCTTGTTAGGGCCTTTGTAAATAAAGACTCAGCTTCATTGTGTTAAAGGTGTCATCTGAAACCACAAACCACTCACCAGTGGTAAGTCAGTGGAAGGCCTGACTTTCATTTCAATAATTAACAACCTGAGATAAGGACTTGTGTTGACAAGCAGCTTGCCAACACACTTCCATGTGATGACACAACCTGGTTGCCATCTAAATTCACTATTGCATGACACAGTAGTCTATATAGGTAGTTATCCCTCCTGAGGAAAGTTCTCATTAGCATTTCTGTGTTTTTTCTTTCGCACTGTTCATGTTATTAAATAAGAAAAGTATAAAATATTGAAATTGTTTGAAGTAGGAAAATAGGTGTTATTTAGTTTTATTCCTCATTACTAATGTTTCTTTGTGGGAGTGGTAATATTGTAATCAGTCTATGAAAAGGATCACATCCCATCGCTCATTTCATCTTCAAAGTGACTAGCATGGAATTCTGCATAGTTGATGTCCAATCAAAGTCACTGATTTAATGCAAAAGGTTTTTTTTTTTAATTCTGCTTTAAAGTGGTAACATTTCTACAAATAAATGAGAACCTCTCAGTATAATTAGCCTATTTGACTTTTTACATCACCCACTTTCAAACCAAATAAAATCTTTGTTTTTAAACTTCTTAATGATTTACTTTTTATTATCTAATGGGACTTAAAAATTATGAAAATTTATTGGTAAAAATGATTTTCAATGGACTCATTTGCTGAGTTTCTGATCAAACTTTTGAGTTATTTTCACTTACTTTCAAAATAGAAATGTTGCATATGAAAAAAGTTTAAAATTAATTATTGTTTCGCATTGTTCTCTGGGCCTAAGTCCCCACTGCAGGAAACTATTTAGCTGTATTTTGGATAAAAGCATAATAAATTACCTTCAACTGATTATTCACACCCTTAGGCTTCTCTGGTTTTCTCTAAGGTACTGGTTACTTTAAATGACAGCATTTCTCCTATATGTTGGTATCTCCCCTTTCCCTGCTCACCCTATTGATATTCCTTCTCTTTGCCTACATATATGCCTAACCTGAGCTTCTCTCTGACTCACTTATATTTTCAATCATCCAATCAATCTGATGCCTATGTTATTTTATTCACGTACATCTGCTGGGACCAAAGATGCCACTCTGATTTCATGGTATTAAAGATGTGAAGTTCTGAAGGAAATAATAGACAGGACGCCCATAGAGGACTACTATTTCGAGTGGAGGACTACTATCTTAAGTTGCTGGAATAAAGGTAGCTCTATTACTCAAATGTAAAAATTAAGAAATTTGAAACTGGCCATGCGTACTTACCTGGAGTTCTAGTCTTCCTGGTCACTCCCGGAGGGGTGAGAAGAAGCAGTTCCATTTTTTTTTTAAAAGTCACATTATCTCTTTTTTTAAAGATTTATTTATTTTTATACAAGAGCTAGGGTACAGGCCAGATGCGCGGGAGGGTGAGAGGATTCACCAGAGACAGAGTGGGGAGCAGAAAAGGCAGACTGAAATACACTGCTGAGAGGAGCAGCAGGCAAGACAGGAGAGGTTTGCCCCGCCATGTGGAAATCTTCCTTGCTGGCCGGGAATCAAACCTGCACTGCAGAGGCTGCAGACAGCTTCACAGTGCTGTGCTCAACCCGCTGCGCCACCTGGGAGGCCCAGCAGTTCCATTTTTGAGAAAATATCTGAGAATGATGGGTTAGAGACCATACTGAGGAAAGTGGGCCTCGGTTCAAATACTCATGGTACCATTTATTAACTATATAACCTTAAACAAGTAATCAATGTCTCTGTGTCTTAGACTGTTCTCATATAAAAGCGAAGATAAGCCTTCCAACAATATCTACTTCACACACTTTTATAAAGATTAAATGAGATCATCACATTTAAGCCTAGCATATAATAATCTCTCAATATCTGCTAGGAATGTTATCGCATTCCAATCGATCATGCTCTAATACAATCTTCTACCTCTGACCGAACCTGTAGAAAACTCATGCAGGACTCCATGTTGGTTAAGAGATCACACCAGTGTTTTTAAATTCCAACCGCTGCTCTAGAGAGAATAAAGTTTAGACTTCACATGGTTATAAACATTCTGGAAGCTGGATTAGGTTTCTCTTTATGGAAGTAGCATCTTTATATTCTTACCTGAAAAAGTCATTACCCTACAATGGGGAAAAACGTATTTGCCATGAAAAGTGAAAAATGTACTGCTCCTTGCTTCTTCCCACAGTATCCATAAATATGCTGAGACTGTTTATTTTGCTAGTTGGTTTTTGAGACCCTGCTGAAACAAGAGATGGCCTTATTTTATATTTCCCTCAAATTCTACCACAAACCACACTTCTTGGGAGAAAAAAACAGAAATTGCCATGTAAGCATGTTTACCTTCTACTGGCTAGGAGGTTGAAACTTGCCGCAGTGGTGACTCACCACAGTAATAGGCCTATAAAAGTGGAAGGACTTGTGGAGGAAGGACAGATGCCTCCAGGCATAGCATTCAAGATGCGCCCAGGTGTTCTAGCTGCCCTCCTGCTCATGAGCTGGACTCACTGTGGGTCCCTGCCCCTTCCCAATAATGATGAGGAGGATTTGTCTGAGGAAGACTTCCAGTTTGCAGAGGTAGAGTATGTTGCCGAACCCAACAGTGTGATGCGTCTTCTAAGTGCCCTTCTCTTTTAAAAGGTGGTCGTGTTGGTCTCTTTTCTAGCGCTACCTGAAGTCATATTACCATCCCCTGAATCTCGCTGGAATCCTGAAGAAGACAGCAGTAAGGTCCATGGGTGACAGGCTCCGAGAAATGCAGTCTTTTTTCGGCTTGGAGGTGACTGGCCAACTTGATGATAACACCTTAGACATCATGAAAAAACCAAGATGTGGGGTCCCTGATGTGGGTGAATACAATGTTTTTCCTCGAACACTCAAATGGTCAAAAATGAATTTAACTTACAGGTAAATTATGAACTATCTTTACTATTTTTTTCATTTTAAAAAATAGTATTAAATGTCTAATTTTCAGCGGAAGTTACAGATGGCAAGTAGATCATGTACAGTTTCATTTTTAAGGTATATTTTAAATACTACAATGGAAGTTAAGTAAGGCCAGGAATAACTGTAATACTATTGATGAGAATTCTCATAACATCTATTATTGTTACTTCCACTGGATTCTCAAAATATTTTTCTTGAGAAGTGAAATTAGGTTCAATAAAATTTGCAAATGTAGCCCATCAGGCATTGTTATTATAACAGTGGTAAAGGCAGAGAGTTCTACTCTTTCTAGAAACTTTGCAGAGCTACTTCATTTATTTGGCTACGTGATACAATTCCAAACTTTTAGCATGCAATATAAGTTCTTATTAAACACCTGGATATTTCAAATTTAATATATCAGATGAGCAGATATTTGGAGATACTCAAATGTCTGAGAGAATACCTCATTCTTTATCCTTGCATGGCATTATAATGAAGAAGTCCTTTGAAAAATGGAACTCCAGTAGAACTTTTAGAGAAGTCAGTGAATTTTGAGTCAAAAAGTAGTATTCCCAGAAAAATACATACTCCAAAATAGCTTTTAGCTTCCAAAAACTTACTTGAAACTTTCTCTGTTGAACAGAATTGTGAATTATACCCCTGACCTTACCCACTCTGAGGTTGACAAGGCTTTCAAAAAAGCCTTCAAAGTTTGGTCTGATGTGACACCTCTGAATTTTACCAGACTTCACAATGGCACTGCTGATATCATGATCTCTTTTGGAACCAAAGGTAATGGTGCAGAATCATTTCTGCTTCTTAGCTCGCTCCTTTGTTTTATCCTCTTTCAGTCATCCTTTGCTTCTTTACAGAATTCAACAAAAACTGACTAACTGCCTGTGCGTGTCTCTGCTGGGTGGGTGTAACTAGCTTCCTAACTCTCGCTTTTGTGTGCAGAGCATGGTGACTTCTATCCATTTGATGGGCCCTCTGGTCTGCTGGCTCATGCTTTTCCTCCTGGACCAAATTATGGAGGAGATGCCCATTTTGATGATGATGAAACTTGGACAAGTAGTTCCAAAGGTAATATTGCTTATAAAAATATAATTCATGATTATCATATTAGATAGGAAATCCATTAAGAAGCATGTTGTGAACCATATTTGGTATGTGATTGTTTTTCAAAAAAATTACATACTTATTCGTTCCTTTAAGTGACATTTCTGCAAAGCAATGTAAAACATTAAAAACAAGCAAAATCTCTTTAGGTTAGGAGTTGGAGGAATACCAACTTTGTTTTGTTTTTTTAAAAGATTTATTTATTTATGCATGCAAGAACTGGGGTACAGGGCAGAGATGCAGGGGGTGAGAGAATTCACCAGAGACAGAGTGGGGAACAGAACAGGCAGACTGACCGAAGTACACTGCTGAGGGGAGCAGAGGGCCAGTCAGGAGAGGTCTGCTGCACCATGTGGGTTGCTCCCTGGACAACCAGGGATTGAACTCGTGCTGAAGAGGCTACAGATTGCTTCACAATGTGGTGCTTAACCCCTTGAGCCACCAGGGAGGCTCTAGGAATACTAACTTTGAATTAGGATTAAAATATCTTTCTGTCGGGCCTCCCCTGGTGGTGCAGTGGTTGAGCGCTGGGCTGTGAATCTGCCCGCAGCCTCTGCAGTGCCGGTTTGTTCCCCGGCGGGGCCGAGGGTCCCACATGGCGTGCAGACCTCTCCTGCCACGCCCGCTGCTCCCCTCAGCGGTGTATTTTGTCAGTTTGTCTGTTCTGCTCCCTGCTCTGGCTCTGGTGAATTCTCTTACCCTCCCGTACTTCTGACTGTACCCAGTGCTTGTATAAATGAATAAATAAATCTTTAAAAAAAAATATCTTTCTGTCAACCAAAGTGTTGTTACCATGGATTACATTTCGGCATAGTAAGGTACAGTTTATTATAAATATATATCTGAAACTATTAAAGCTGGATGTGTAAGTCATAGATAAATTGGATGTAAGTTGAAATAGTTTTTCCTCCATGGAATAAATATTAATGGCATAAGTCCAATCAAATATCTGTTCCCTATTATATGAGTTACTTGTTTGAAATGTATCTATCTCACTAGTTTCATAAATAATATTCTGAGAAATCAAGTAGTGTCTTAACCCAAAGAACATGAGACAGGCTAGATGAGATTTTATCCTAGAATAAAATGAAACGGTATTGAATGAATCCTTTAAGGCTCATAAGAATTGGGAATATTAATTTAGGAAGAAAAAAATAGATTGTCTCAACTAGGACTTAACTTTGGAGCTCAATGGATCTAGTTGTGACAATTAGAAGTAGTCTGCACAGACAGCTGATTTTTATTATTTATTTAACTAAGAAGGATTATTTTTTGGAAGAGTAAAACAGGGCTTTGAATGAGCAATGCCTCAACTCCAATGACTCCAATCTGTCTTGGGAGGGAAAGATAAGGACTTACATATTAACATTCTAAATATCTCACAGGTTTAGAAGGTTTTAGAAAGAAAGGATAACATTTAGTATTACTAAGACAGAGTTATAATAAGCCTCGGTTTTATGTTCTTACATCAAGTATGGATTTTAAATATTTAAATGAAATGAATGAATGCCTCCACAAACAAATCTGGATTAATTTTTCAGCTGAAGGTCATGAATGGTATCCATTACTCATCATTTTAATGAAGACTTACTTGCCACTGAGATTGTATATTAATTTTGATGCCCGTATGGTCACTGAATTGGTTATACATTTTCTTCATGTATAGACTATGGTGACAAAAGGTGTTTAAGATCAAATTGAAACCACCGGCTCCAGTTTTCATGTATTCTAAACATAAGTAACAATAATTCCTCTTGACTTACATGTCTTTTTTTTCTGTTAATCTATTTCTACATTTCTTTTTTCAAATTTAAAATATCAGTATTAAAGTCTCAAAATTCAGTGGAAAAATGACTAAAGAATGCTAATCCAGTGATAGATTCATCTCATAGAATAGAAGACAGTTGGCTAGTGATGTCCAGAGTTTCTGTTTCTTTAAACTCTAGAGATATTGTGGAAAGAATCATTTGGTGTAAATTTGGTCCTGAGGTGAGTCCCAGAGACCCTGCTGAGTGTATCTGCCATACTTGGTCATTATCCCTTTGGATGCTGTTTAGATGGTGCTCTGGGCACCACCTTATTTCCGGTGCTCCTCATTTAAGATCATCCACATCCGCTTTCCTCATCTGACCTCAGAAGACAAAGAGCAAATTGGGATTACTAGTATCTTCATAGTAGCTCCTCACTGATTACTAATTACATGAGAATAATCTGTGGACATTGAATTGTATGGGAAGTTACAATCAAAGGGAGCACTACTTATGTATAGGGGTTAAATCAATACTTTTGAGTCTTCCATTAAGCAACTGAATATTAACTTTTAAAAAGTGAGTATGCATAACTATTAATAATAACATGCACACACACACACACACACACACTTGAGAAAAATAGCCAAAAAAGAGAAATGGTGACATCACAGACATGACAGATGAGGTAAATAACACTCTCCACTAACTGGTCACTGAAGGACCTTGCTTTCTCATTGTTTGTCTTTTTACAGGTTACAACTTGTTTTTGGTTGCTGCCCATGAGTTCGGCCATTCCTTAGGTCTCGACCACTCCAAGGACCCAGGAGCACTTATGTTTCCCATTTACACCTACACTGGCAAAAGCCACTTTATGCTCCCTGATGACGATGTGCAGGGGATCCAGTCACTCTATGGTAACTAATTTATCAGCTTAAAAGCAGAATAGATACAGACCTTTATTTTCTAAGTTTTAGTGAACTATTTTTGGTTTTACTTTTAAACCTGGGAAACCTGTCCATTTTTTTTTTCTTTCCAAATCAAACCACCTACTCAGGTACAAAACATTCTATTCTCTAAAGTTTTTGCAAAATATAACTTCTCATATTTGTATTTTATATATTGCAAGGTACAACTGATACCTCAAAACATCTCTGTCATAAGAAAGGAAAATATTCTATTCGTCATTTAAACAACAAAGAAACAAAGCCCTAACAGCACTGAAATAGTGTATTAATAGTAATACAACTAAGGGTAAAAGGAGATTTTAACCCACTTTTATAAATTCTGGGTAGTCTTTCAATACTCCAATTTGCCACTATGGAAACATTCAAGTGATCTCTGGTAGCTTTTAATAGAGTTATAATTACAGCGCCCAGTCATCAGTGTAAACATTTCTAGAGCACACAGCTCAGAAAACTTGCTCATGACAGCTAATCCATTACTGCCCTTTCTGGTTCAGATCTACCACAGCAGTTTATGAGTACGGGTAAGAATTTTGCAACGATTGTACCCAGGGGAATCAATTGAACAAATGTGATCCAGGTAAAGAAAAAGCAGTTTAGACTCATGATTGTGCTCAGCTCCCCTTTAGCTCTCATGGGGGCTGGTGGCAAATTTACAAACATGTAGCTGAAGGCCTGGCTTATCACTGACATGAGCTGCACTTGTCTCACTGGGGAAATAATATTAGCTGATATGCATAGCTTATAAAATGGACAAGAGAGGGAACTGAGATGAGGGCAATCACAGGGATATGCATCATTAGATGTGGGTAAGAAGAACATGTTTCTCAAGAGCAGTTTGTACGTATGTTCTATAAAGCATGAACCTCCATCCCATTTCTATCACCAAATTGAGAAACCTAAATGTTCAGTTCCAGTGAATCTCAGGGGGTCATGAGAGTTGAGAGCAGAAGGAGAAGTTCCACCTGCAAGACCTTGGTCACCCTGGTAGGAGGAAATAGGAATACAGGTATTTGGACCACTGCATAGATTTGACAAGACTTATTGTCCTCCCCAGAAGAACCCCTTCCTACTCAACATTAGTGACATCATGTTCGCAGTGAGGTCGTCCTCGGTAACTTCTTCCATTTATTTCATTACTGTAGGCCCAGGAGATGAAGACCCCAACCCTAAACATCCCAAAACACCAGACAAGTGTGATCCATCCTTATCCCTTGATGCCATTACCAGTCTCCGAGGAGAAATGATGATTTTTAAAGACAGGTACTCTTGACATAGTTTTATAAAATCTGCATAACAAACATTAGTGAATCCATGTCTGGGCAAATTGCCAAAACATCTGGTCAAACTTTCAAGGAAAGAAGGTAAAAGTGCAATTAATAGACCTTTGGACACTTTATTTATGTATTTTAAATGAACTAAATAATTGATAGTGCAGCTTCTTTTTACATCATTGGTTGAAGTCTTTCCTATAAAGATAACCACATAAATATAAAAATCCAAATTATTTATGAAAAATCACACAAGTATTAAAATCAATTACCAACTAGTAAGCCATTACTCTGAGTCTACATGAATTCCCTTTAGTTTTGGAAAGACTTTGGCTCTGTGAACATATATTGAAATTTGAGAGGAGTGTTTAACAACCTAAGTCTGTAGGTGATAAAAATGAAATAATTTAAACTTTTCACCTTGTTCTAATATGCTTATTTTTTTCATTCATCAATTACATTGTTTCCTCATCTGTGATCCCATAACATTCTTATCTCCTCTGTTATAACTCTAATTGCATTGTATTTCATATATTTTCTCATGTTTTAGTTTCCCTAGATAATGAGATCTTGGAAGAAATACTTTGTCTAACTCCTCTTTCTCTCCAGAGCCCAACACAGTGCCTGGCACATTTGCTGGACACTTGTGGGATATGCAGTATTGAACAAAGCATGATCCCAACTCACAAAGCACTTATAAAGGCTGGTGAGGTTTTAAACTTCAATACTTGAGACTACAGTTAGGGTAGCAAGAGCAAAACTGGCACACAGAGAGGAAGGGAACATTTTCCCCTTCACAGGAGACAGCTTCTCATTTCTCTGTATTGATATGGTGAAGAGGTGACCAGTGGCCCTTAAATTGAAATAGTGCCCTTAAAATATGACATAAAAAATATGACAGCAATCTCTGTACTTCTGCTTTCGTGCTAGATTCTTCTGGCGGCTGCATCCTCAGCAGGTCGATGCAGAGCTTTTTTTAACAAAGTCGTTTTGGCCAGAACTTCCTAACCGCATTGACGCTGCCTACGAGCATCCTTCCCGAGACCTTATCTTGATCTTCAGAGGTAAGTCTTTCACTGCATGTCCAGGGCAGGCGATGGTGAATGTAACACTGCCAGAAATGTAGTAAAAGTATTACTACATTTACAGGACTAAGTAACAGAAAATGGAAACCAGAAGTGTCCCCAAATTTGACAAGTCAAAAGTCAACATTATTACTCATATCTGCTCTTTGTTTCATAGCAATCATGTCAGTTTTTCTTATTCCTCTTTAAAACTATTTACTGAGCAAATGTAACAGTGTACATTTTAAAAATTGAAAAAAAATATTGTTTGCCCCCTTCTAAATTTCATTTTCTTTCCTTTCTAGTCTTTTATCAGATGTAACACTTATTTTTAAAGACTTATATTCAGTGTATATGTTTTTCAATATTCTATTTGTTCAATTAACAGAAAATAATGAAATTTCCAAATTACTACTTCATCTTTGTGATCATAATTTATAATGCCTATACAACATCTAAAGACATTTTTATTGTTTCACTGTTATAATTAGTGCTATAATGACCTTATAGAGAAAGAAATAATTCTTTATCTGGTATAAAATTTAAGTTTTCAATCTAATTTACTATTCCAACTGTGCAACTGGTTCATGCAGAAATCTTAATGTCTTTTTCACACAGCTTCAAGCTTAACGTTCAGAGATAATATATAGCCAAATGAATTATGACATTTGTTTGGCTATGCTCACAATTAGGAAATTTGGACCTTAATCCCTATTTTTGTCTGAAGAATGCTCATATTTCAAAATATTTCAGAAACATGGTCACCACACTAATTTATTTCTAAATGTATATTTTTTTGGTTAAATTAATGATCTTTGATAAGAAATGAATCTTCATTAAAATAAATATCTATATCTGTGCGTGCTCAGAGTTTCTTTGTATAAAGAAATCATTCTCTTATTCTAGGCAGAAAATTTTGGGCTCTTAATGGCTATGACATTGTGGAAGGTTACCCGCAAAAAATATCTGAACTGGGATTTCCTAAAGAAGTTAAAAAAATAAGTGCAGCTGTTCACTTTGAGGCTACGGGGAAGACACTCTTCTTCTCAGGAAACCAGGTCTGGAGGTATGGCAGCAATGTTTACTGACCCCTCGTCTGTGTCAGAGGCAATGTGAATCGCGGACATAAGACCCCAGATTAGTGTCTCTATTTAGGGATGAAAATATCATAGGTACCAACACTTGAAATGATAGCTTTACTTTACCTATACTGATACATACACACATGCCATAAATGTATCTTTTTTATCTTTTGACGTCTTTATAATAATGACATCCATAACTCTAAAGATGACTGCCAAGTTCTACCTGGTACTGCCACACCCTGCATGAGCTCTAGCGTTTCATAAAAACAGGTTGCTTATCGTATCACACTTGTACCATGCTTTTTTCTTCTCATGATCTTCCCCTATGCAGTTGTCTTTTCTGGGAAGTCTTTCCCTAAATCCCTCCTTGAAATTTTACTTGTTTAAAATTAACTTGAAATACCATTTCACCTATAAAGTCTTTGTTGATCGCTGCATTTAGAAGTTATCTAGCTGTCGTGTTCACTCACAATGCTGCACCTCTATTGCTCAGTGTTGCAGTGATGCCCACATCTTAGCTTCTTGAAGGTCCAGTGGTTTTTACCTTTTACCTACTGGAACATATCTCAAGGCTACATAAGTCTCATCAGTAACAGTAGCAGTAATATATGATGGGAGGCTGCTCTTCTGGGCTAATTTCAGAATGTGTCAGGATGGTGCATGTGTGCTCAGAGGAGAAGGAACATGGACTGTGTTGTTGTGGAGGGAAGATATGTCCCCTTCCTGACTTTAGTACCACCACATGCCTCCATGACTTTCTAGTATGGCAGTTAAAACTTAAATATTTTTGTATGCACTGTTGCACTGTGCAAGTTGTCTTACATGCAAGGAGGGATCAACCCATAAACATTAAAGAACCACTCAAAGAACATTCTAGTGACATACTTTTATAACAGACACATAAACTTGGAAATGGAAAGGAGGGTGTGACTATCTTTTCAAAGATGGCCTTCAGGCAAAGTCAAAGATTGCTCATCCAGTATCTACCCTGCACTCGGTATTGTAATTCCTTATTAAAAGTATTAATTTTAATTAAAAATTGCTCTTAAAATGTTTTAACTTAATATCTAAGCTAGATATTATTATCTAAGCTTATTATAGCTTATATATCTATTATTATTAGATATTAGCTAACTAAGCAATAAAAAAAGTTACAATTCATTTTTATGAATGGAAAGATTATTGTTTTATGTTGTTAAACATAGCAAATTCCTAGTATTTTACTGCATGATATCCAGCTACTTAAATAAAGGTAGTTTTTCACTTAAAAAAAACTACCAAATGTTTTAAATGGACTTAAAATTTTAAAACTTGTCAGTTTTGAAAGGTGCCATGATATACATTGTACAATTTCTCAAAAATACAACCTACTGAAGAGTTTCCTCTTTTTTTAAATTAAATAGCTATGATGATACTAAACATCTGATGGATAAAGACTACCCCAGACTAATAGAAGATGACTTCCCAGGAATTGGCGATAAAGTAGATGCTGTCTACGAGAAAAATGGTAACCAGTTCCATTACACTCAGAGTCCAAGGGGCTTCTGCAGCCCTCCAGAATCAATTTCCTTAAAAAGTACTTTTATACAGAACTTAGATGTACAAAATGTACTGCAGTTAAGAAATTAGTCTTTTCTGGATGAACACTTGCATAGACAGCAAAAAATAATATGCTTAGAATAAATATTTTATGTAAAGATTGCTAATTCTATGCATATAAGTGCCAACCTTTAAACACTACCTTAACTTATATTTAAAGATGCCCAAATGCAAAGATGTTTGCCACAGTACAAATCAAGCATAGAGTGGGGAGTGATGGATACATAAAGAATAGTAACTACCATGAGGCTTTTTAGCTTTGATTATGAAAAGGGTATTATTCCTAACTTATAACAAATAACTAATGTCAATAAATCAAGTATCAAAACTTGAACTCATGGCAGGCCAAAAATTAATTCATGTGATAATGTAGGAGAGCTGGGAACCTTTATAACTTTTTCCCACCTTAAACCATAAGCAACAGAGTAAAGCATTAGCAGAATTAGTAAAGACAAAGGTTGGAATGTTTTGTTTTTTTTTGTTTTTTTGTTTTTTTTTTTAAAGTGGGTTATAACTAATTGAGCTTTTAATGTTAGCTGAAGTGAAATCCTAGTATTTTCAAACTCTGAACTATTCTTTTTGGTCTTCTTTCTTATAGGCTATATTTATTTTTTCAATGGGCCGCTACAGTTTGAATACAGCATCTGGAGCAACCGCATTGTTCGAGTCATGCCCACAAATTCCCTATTGTGGTGTTAAATGTCCTTTAAACAATGTTATTTAAATCCTGGAGAGCATTGGGGATAATACTTCTAGAAGCATGGGGGAGTGCAGGGAGGGAAGAGGGAGAGATATCAGGGAAAGCTTAGTTCTGTGAACAAGCCTCAGTAAGTTATCTTTGAAAAAGTAGTGTCTATACAGTTACGCGTGGCTGGAACCGCATGGACTGTTAAAGTAGTGAAATTCGGGGTCTCTAAGGATCACCCAATTCCTGTGTGTTTGATAGAAGCAGTAACTAAAAATATTGCCCATATCCGAAAATGGGACATATGGTCTGTTAGGGAGAGTTAGTATAAATTTTTAGTATATTTATAAAGAACCTTTGCAAAGGCATAAAAAGTAACTCACATTTATTTGACCGATGAATCTTTACTAAATACTGTAAAACAGTATGAAAGCGGGATTGGGGGAGAGGAGCATATGGTAACCAGACTTGAACAGAGATTAAACAAAGGGAAATGTCTGTAATAAATAGATGGCAGGCAACTTTCCAAAGAAATAATTTGGGTTTTTCACAGAAAATATGGGCATACACATGCCCCTTTTCAAAGAGAAATAAGGAAATATCAATGTCAGTAAAGACAGTAGAAAGACAAATGTGAGAACAACAGACATGGCCTTTAGACTTTGCGTCATTTTCACATTTGATAATGACTCAATGTCTCAAAGAAGACAAATCCTTCTTTGCATGTTCATAGATGATAAAGAGAGATAATTTCTCTTTGTATAAAAAATTTCAAGTCATTGAATAATATCAAAGTAAAAAAACTGCTAAAATTAAAATGACCTAAAGCCATGGCATCACTTTCATTATAAGCCATCTGATTGTTTAAGATTAAAAGTAGTGTCTTAACCCTATGTATCCAGATAGTTATTTTAACTGTCCAGATTACTTTGAATATATAGTCTATTTTTTGAAGATACACACTAAGATGTATGCTATGAACTGGAGTACACACATTAAAATAGAGACATCTGGGATAAATCAAATCATCTACTAGATGGTGATCCCCTTGAGGATATGCAACTCTGCCCTTTGTCTCTCCTTTACTTTTTATCCCTCAGCACTTTTCACAGTGCTTGGCACTGTGAAAAGAAGAAATGATAGCCATCAAGAGAATACATGGTGCTGAGAAATCTTGCTCATAAAACCTCAGGCAAAGAAAAGAAATTGTATTGTATTGCAAAATGTATTAGAAAGTTTTATAGTTTATAATTAAAAATATTTTCAATAAACTTTGTTCTGTGGCTTTTTTTTGATTAGCTATTTGTAAAATTTTTTTAAATATTTTTTATAATTTATTTATTTATATACACTTTACATCATTGTTCATTTTTTATACAATGCTTGCTTTCTCCTCTCAGGTGTAGTCCCTGTAAAATTCCCACCACCAATTTACCCGTGCACCATCATCACAGTCCTTTGGGCTTGTCCCCTCCCAGTTTTGATTCCTCTCCCTCACCCTCCCTTGCAGAATGTCTCTGATTTATAGCTGCCTGTTAATTTTGTTTTTTTTATTTATTGTTTTTATTTTTTTCCCAGCCCTTTATTTGGTTCCCCTATATTCCTCTTATAAGTGAAGCCATGCAATATTTTCTTTTTCCTTCTGACTTATTTCACTGAGCATAATTCCTTCTAGCTTCATCCATGCTGCTGTGAATGGCATAAGTTTATCTTTTTTGATTGCTGAATAGTATTCCATTGTGTATATAGTCCACAACTTCTAGATCCAGTCATCTATTTTTGGGCATTTGGGTTGTTTCTATAGCTTACTTGTTGTAAATAGTGCTGCAATAAACATAGGGGTACAGGTACCTTTTGGGTGAATTAATGTTTTTGTGTTCTTTGGGTAGGTTCCTAGGAGTGGGATTGCTGGGTCATATGGTAGCTCCATTTTTAGTAGTTTTGATACTGAACACCAGCCTCAGTTTCTCTCAGTCAATAAAAGGAAACAGAGTATGAGGAGAAGGAAAGTAGTTAATTTGTTGACAAACTGAGGAGGGCAGCAGACTCATGTCTGAAATACCACGGGCCCTCACTCTTTGGCAGAGGGCAGGGGCATTTACACAAAGGAGTCAAACAAAAGAGAGATGGGCACAGGGGAGCTGGGAAGGGCTGGCACGTCCTTTTGGTGCAGGTATATGGAGATTTCGGGTGGGCACCAGCTTGCTTTGTGAACACTGGATGTTTAATTTCCTTGAATGTTTAACTTCCTTATTATTCCCTTAAAGATGTTCTTCCTTTTTCTTAGACTGCACGAAGACAAACTTAAATGCAACAGATAGATTGCTTATCAGATGGCGGGAAGAGAGACCTGTCCTGTTTCCCTGTATCAGTTTGAGGAACCTCCACACAGTTTTCCACAGTGGTTGGACCAGTTTGCATTCCCACCAGAAGTGTAGAAACTGTGGGATATGTTTTAATAATTGTTACATTTTTAGTCCTCCACATGTGCACCTGTTCCGCTCACCCTCCACCAATCTACCCTTGTGCCTATTTAGTCTTTTGGTGTAATTGGAAGGGTTTTTTTTTTTTTCCCCATAGTGAGCTCGCTCATTGTTTTTGCTTTGTAAGAAGACTAAATTCAGAATTCTAAGACTAAATTTAGAATTAATTGTACCAGGCTATGTTAACTGAACTTCCCTAGATGGAACCCACAGTTTCCTCAGAACCTTCCCCACTCAGAGTATTACTTGGCAGTGAGGGGAAGGATGAGTGGATCTGGAGTTAGGAAGGTTGGGTTCTGGTGTGCAATATGTCATGAAGTCGGGTGTGTGATTCTGGACAGGTGATTTAATCTCTTTGAGCCTTACTTTTCTGGTGCATAAAATGAGAGCATAAGGGTCTTTGGTGAGGCTAGGGAAGAGAGGAGGCAAGTAACTCCACTTAGGAAGGCCAGCACTCACTAGCTTGCCCCAGCGTCAGCTGAGCTTAAGCCATTAGAAGGCCTCTGTTTTCCTATGCACTACCCACTCCCAAATATTGAATCAGTGTCTGTGAAATGACAGGCAGCTAAGATGTTGAGATGAACTAGAAACATCTACTCTAAAGATCTTATATCCTACTGTTAACAGAGCAGCCCTGATATAAAAAAAACTTTGGCATCTACAGAAATGTTAACACTGGTTTTATGTGTATAAAATGTGTATAAAACCTCTCAGTACCTGATATGTATGTAAATTGTCAATGGTGATTGTCACCTTGTAATATTGTATACTTCGATTGTTTATTGACAGAAATTGTTTCTGGAAAAACAGGGAGAAAAGACCTCAACAGATTCCTATTGATGGAACTGTTGAGAGTACAAATTTCCTACACAGGACTGAATACACCTGATATTTACTAAGTTTTCTTTGACATAATACTTGTAATTTTTTTTGCATTTTGTTCTGAATCCACAAAGTTTTCTTGTTTTGACTGACCAGGACCTGCAGCAATGTTAAATTATTTTTTTTCTTTTTTTCAGCAGAGCTGACTTGTGTTAGCATTTTCTTTCACCTTGATACCAACACAGCATGGAAATAGTGGTAGTAATTTTTACTACTCATATCAATGTCTATTTTTGCATAACTTCCATAGAGATTTTGTCTGCTTAAAACAAAAACAAATGGAGATGAGTTTCATTGTGTGGCTTTGAGTGGAGTTCTTCAGGAAGTTCAAATAGACCTGAACCAAGAAAAAGAGAACCTGCTGGTTTGTTTGTACGGTTCCAGAGACCTCCAAAGAAGGTGAGGAAGGTGGCAGGACTGGACAACCCAGAAAACGAAAAAGCCCTGGTACCCTCAAGAAGAGGAACACCTCATGTGGAGTCTGGTGAGACCAACTTTGTTCTTGAAGCCTACGTGGAGTGGATGCCAAGAGTTTGCTCTGATCCTATATGGAGTATTGCAACAAAGCCAGATAAAATTGCTGTTTAGTTATTCTGCCCTGTGATTTTATGCAAAAATGGATAATATGGTTTAAAAGTAAATTTAGTTTGCAAACTTTTGCTATGCTGTTGAAACAATTTGGGATCAAGGTTGAGAGAACTTGTTTTGTTTCGTTTTTTTTACATAAGTTTAACCAATTTTAAGATTTTTTTCCTTGTGATTTTGATGTATTTGCTATCTTGTTTTGGCTAATGACTCCAGATTTTTTTTTTTCTTTTGGCTTGGATAATGGACTATTTTCCAGTAATGGAAAACTGTCATACTGGACATTCATGGATAATGCTGCTGCCTAATTGTTGCTTCTTTTACACACATTGTAACCCTGAAAAAACACTGTCTCCTGAGACTACACCCAGAGATCTGGGCCACCATAGATATGGTGGAATAAAAATTAAAAGGGGGGATTGTAACAGGGTGGTCCCCAGGAAAGGGGAAGGGCCCAGATTTCCTGCCCCACCCAAAGGAGGGTGGAGCTGAGCAGGGAGAGAAGAAGCTGCAGAGGAGACTGAGGAAGGAAGGAGCAGGATGCAGAGCCAGAAGGAGACCTGGAGGAGGCATATGGAGCCGAGAGACATGTAAAGAAACTGTGCTTGTCTTTTGGTTGTGGACTGGGTGACACAGATGTGGGTGAGAGACCCGTGGGGAGGTGACAATGGCGGTTTTTGTCTTGATTTTGGTTTTGCTCTTTTCCCTCCAGACTTGTCTGGTTGTTTCTGATGCTTTTCTGTGGGTCCCCAATGGAAGATGCTTTAGCCTTGTGGCAGGCTTTGGGGCTTTGCTCTGGGCCAATCCCATTTGGATGGAGTTGGGTGCTTGATTGAGAAACTAGATTCTTTGCCTTTCCTGTATTGTTTCCTAGTTGTATTAAAGTTCCTTCCCATTAAAGTCTCCTATGTTTTGTGTTGATGCGGCGGATGGCAGAACCTATTTAGAGCAGGCAGGTTTGCGGGCTCTGGGCTGCCCCTCTCCCTGTCCTGTAGCACTACTATGGAGACAAAGAGGTTAACATTCAATAAGTTAAGTGTTATTTTTAGGAGAGCAGTAACCAC